TCAAATTAGTATATATAAATATACAAGATTCTATAAAACACTAATTTATTATGTTTCATAAAATTTTAAACGTATATCACAATCCTTTAAAACAAACTGAAACAGAAAATCGCATATAGTAAAATCAAAAGAACAAAGAATGAAGTAGAACACACATAAAAGCATGATCAAGAACACAATTAAGTCAATACCAAAACCTAAAATTGTCCATCATAAAGATAGTATATGTAGAATTTATCGTGTATATTGTTACGACTTATGCAGTTATGCGAGTAAAATTGTTCTTTGTAGAATCAGTTTATAGAATTATTTATTAACTTGTCAAAAACAAGTATCTATATGTTGAATGACAAAGTGTAATTTGGTAACAAATCAGGGGATAATCATCAAATATATCACTAATACAAAAACAATTTTCTATAATCATTGTACAATTACTCTATGTGGTCATTCACTGAACACATAACTACTACATTGTAAAACAAAATCTACGTTCCAAGTAAAATGGTATACACTAGACCACAAAAGCATACTCAACAAGACCAATTTCAACTATATTTGTGAAAATATCCAGTTTGATTCGGTTTACTTAAGTATGTACCAAAGTCATCGTTTTTACCACATATTCTTTTAGCAAACCATCGTCCAATACCCTAGACTGAAATGACTGAAAAATTGGTTGAGAAAAGTCAGCAGATTCAAGAAGCTATACTTTTGTTTTTGATTTGAAATGTAAGAAAAGAAACGAGAATCGGCAACAGAGAACGAGACTGGTTTTGAAGAATCAATGAAGCGAGAGAGAGAGAGTGAGAAACTAGTGTCGTTAATTGATAGAACACTCAAGTGATGATGGGCTGTGAAGAATCGAGCCAACGATTCCGAGAACAAGAACTCGAAAACTAGGAGCTCGATCTAAAACAGACGAAGAAAGAAAAAAGAATCGGCGATGCAAATGATTTTTTTTTTTTTGTGTTTCGGCCAAACAAAAATGCGATCCACTAATAGACTGACATGTGTTCCACTTGAGACAGATCAAACAGCTCACCCCGATGATACGACTCAAACCAAATTCAGGCAGAAAATTAATTTTTTAAAAAATTTCTTTTATTTTTAATGCTATGATAAAGAATTTCTTTTATTTTAATGCTATGATACTCTCTAAGACTCACCGTTAACCATGCTCATATCTTAAACCTCAAAATTTGATAGATTTACATGATTTCAACTCAACTAACTGATTACATCAGCGTAGTTTCTCATTTACAAATTTGTTGGATCTCTAAAACAAACCAATCACTTTGGTTTAAAAATCATGCAAGAAACAACAAAGATCAATCGCATTTCCCCGACAAATCTCTGTTTTCCGGAGTTTGTTCATGTTCCATAATTTACCCACAAACATCTCATTAAAATTCAAATGAAGATCCTATTTCAACTTCATTTCCAAGTGAATCAACAAGAGGAAATATCAAACACATGGAGAGTAATAAGATAGAAAACAGTACAAAGATGAAGAAATACTTGAACGATTACATCGACACCACTTACCTTGAACACATCTCTACTTGACACCTAAACCATACTTGAGACATAATTATGAAACCCTAAGAAAAGCATAATTTATTCAAACAGAGAGCTAAACAGAAGCCTATTCACATAGAGAGAGAAACTCCTACATACGCACTATAAATCCTAGAAGCGAAACTAAGACCTGTTAAGAAGATATTTCGATCTTCCCCTTGAAAAAATAAGAGAAGATTCGAAAAATGTTTCATAACGAAGATGTCTCTGCACCTTCTAGATTATGAGGCGAATTCGAACGATCAGAGGACGATAAAATGAGATCTGAAATAACGAAATCATGCAACATCTAGACGCAGGATTCTGATCAGATCGTTGGTTGCATCGGCGACAGGGACGATCTTCTTCGCGAAGAAAGCCGGTAAAGGAACATCGCCCGGAGGCGGAGAGGTCGATGTGACTGGACCAGCGTAAAACATGGCTGGCATCGATTTCCGTCTGGTAAT